GCTCCCCATCCGACCCCAGGAGCTCAGTCCAGCACTCCAATGTGGGTCTCCGTCTCCATCTCCATCCATCGCCAGACGAAGGCTCCATGGTGACATACAAGACACCCATCAGAGTGGCTATAGTATAGGGCCAGTTCAGGCACCCTCTTCAGCTGCCCAAGGAACAAGCTGGGGACATCTCCTTGGACACCTGGGAACCCCTCTAGAGTCCATTCTCTTGCCAACCCTCAAATGGTTCCCTTAATTAAGATATATACTTCCCTGATCCCATATCCACTCCTCCATCCCAACTGTCCCATTTCCCCAAGCTCTCCCCATTCTCCCCTCTCCCTTCTCTCTCCCCATCTCCCCTTACCCCCGTCCCACCCCCACCCCCAAGCTCTCAATTTTTGCCTGGAAATCTTGTATACTTCCAATGTCCAGGAAGATAACTACATGTGTTTTTTTTGGGGGGGTCACCTTCCTATTTAGCTTCTCTAGGATCATGAATTATAGGCTCAATGTCCTTTATTTATGGCTAAAATCCACTAATGAGTGAGTACATACCATATTCATCTTTTTAGGTCTGAGTTATCTCCCTCATGATAGTGTTCTCTATTTCCATCCATTTGTATGTAAAATTCAAAGATGTCATTGTTTTTTTGCCGCTGAGTAGTACTCTAATGTGTATATATTCCACACTTTCTTTATCCATTCTTCCATTGAGGTGCATCTAGGTTGTTTCCAGGTTCTGGCTATTACAAATAATGCTGCTAGGAACAGAGTTGAACAAATGCTTTTGTAGTATGATAGGGAATCTCTTGGGTATATTCCCAGGAGTGGTATTGCTGGATCCTGGGGTAGATTGATCCCAGATTTCCTGAGAAACCGCCACACTGATTTCCAAAGTGGTTGCACAAGTTTGCATCCCCACCAGCAATGGATGAGTGTTCCCCTTACACCACATCCTCTCCAGCAAAGGCTATCATTGGTGTTTTTGATACCATCTAAAATCGAAAACACCAATGATACCTGCTAGTCTTAAGAGAGGGCAGGGTACCTTGTCCTGTGGGAAGTCCAAGGCCCTCCCTCCTCCATCCAGGCCCAGGAAGGTATGCATCCAAATAGACTAGGCTCCCTAAAGCCAGTAAGCACATGCAGTAGAAACAAGTCCCAGTGCCATTATCAATGGCTTCTCAGTCAGCCCCCATTGTCAGCCACATTCAGAGAGTCTGGTATGATCACATGCTCGTTCAGTCCCAGTCCAGCTTGATTTGGTGAGCTCCCATTAGAACAGGCACACTGTTTCAGTTGGTGGACCAACCCCTTGTGGTCATGACTTCCTGGCTCATCTTCCCCCTCCTTCAGCTCTTCAACTGCACCTTGGGAGCTCAGTCCAGTGCTCTGATGTGAGTCTCTGTCTCTATCTCCATCCATCGCTGGACAAAGGTTCTATGGTGATATTCGAGATATTCATCTGTGTGACTATGGGACAAGGCCAGGTCAGGTACCCCCTCCTCTGCTGTCCCAGGACCTAGCAGGGGACATCCCCATGGACACCTGGGATCCCCTCTAGAGCCAAGTCACTTGCCAACCCTAAAATGGTTCCCTTAATGAAGATACCGTCTTCCCTGCCCCTATATCCAACCTTCCTACATCTCAACCCTCCCACTCCCCCAAGCTCTCCCCAGTCCTTTTTTCTCCCTTTACTCTCTCCCTCTCCCTTTTCCCCTATCCCACCCCCACCCCCATGCTTCCAACTTTTGCCTGGTGATCTTGTCTGCTTCCAGTTTCCAGGAGGATCTACACATGTTTTTCTTTGGGTTCACCTTATTATTCGGTTTCTCTAGGCTTGTGAACTATAGGCTCAGTGTCTTTTGTTTATGACTAGAATCCACTAATGAGTGAGTACATACCATATTCATCTTTTTAGGTCTGTGTTATCTCCCTCAGGATAGTGTTTTCTATTTCCATCCATTTGCATGCAAAATTCAAGATGTCATTGTTTTTTACCGCTGAGTAGTACTCTAATGTGTATATGTTCCATACTTTGTTTATCCATTCTTCCATTGAGGGGCATCTAGGTTGTTTCCAGGTTCTATTACAAATAGTGCTGCTATGAACATAGCTGAATAAATACTTTTGTAGTATGATTGAACATATCTTGGGTATATTCCCAAGAGTGGTATTGCTGGATCCTGAGGTAGGTTGACTCCCAAGTCCAAATGGATTAAAGACCTCAATATAAATCTAACCAAACTGAACCTGATAGAATAGAAAGTGGGAAGTAGTCTGCAACACATGGGCACAGGAGACCACTTCCTATGTATAACCCCAATAGCACAGACAATAAGAGTAACAATGAATAAATGGGACCTCCTGAAACTGAGAAACTTCTGTAATGCAAAGGACACTGTCATTAAGACAAAAGGCAACTTCTCTTAGGACACTAAGAGAGACTTTCATAGATCTAATTTACACGGCAAGTAGAAAGAGACAAGATCTCATGAGTAAATTGACAGCATGAGGACCTTGAGGGAGCTTTGAAAGGGGGACGTGTGAGCAGAGAAAAATGTAGAGCTCAATAAAAATCAAATTAAAAAAAAAGAGCTTCAACACTGTGAAGACTGAGTTAATTTAACATGACATACCATCATACAAAGCTGTGTGTGCTGGCTATTCGAGTTAATTTAACATGACATACCATCATACAAAGCTGTGTGTGCTGGCTATTCCTGGTCTGTGATGAGAAAAGGAAGTTCGGTACTTTCACTGTTGTTCAGAGCAGCTTAATGAAGGAGAGTTTGCCGGGAGGTAGGAGAAAAACAACAAAACACTTAAACTCTAATGTTTTCCACAGTCACGGAATTAATTGGTGAAAATCCCTCCTGATTCTTTAACGAAGAGAACCACTGGACATTGAGAGAAGGGACCCACCTGGAATGCCCAATATCAGACAAAGGTTGTGGAACACAGCCTGTAGAGTGTTACAACACATTGACAAATGTTTCAGTAACCTAGAAAGTGTCTTTTAAAGTTAAAGGGCATTGCAATTAGATTAATAATGAGTGTGGAGGTTCATTTTCTCATCACATCCATCAGGGTTCTCATCTCTCTGAATCCCCAGAGTCATTGCGCTCTGCTATTAAGCAGATAATAATCTTTACACAATGAGTGCGTTTGCTTACTCAATGAACCTCTTTAAGGCACATGGAAAATGAGGGGAAACTTTTATCTCAAATGATAATTTCTGACTTGAAGAGATGAACAAAATATCCTATTTTCTTCCTTTTGATTGTTTTGGGTATGGTACTGCGGCCCCCTCACTTAGGGACCACTATGAATTCATCTTACAAATAACTAATGTACGCCTTGTTTTGTGATTGAAATGAGGGGCAGATTTTCTTGACCCTTCTGGTTTTCAGGTCTCTGCTGATGTGGCCTGTACTCATAACCCCTTTCTGCTCTTCCAGCTGTGGACTTTGAAGGGAACCCTAGGGTACTGACATCCACTGCTCTTTGCCTGCAGGTCCCCGCTGTCTTGGACTTTGCCATTTACACAGGAAGGGTTTCTCTTGATCTCTGCCACATTTGACTTCTTTTCCTTTCTAGGCATGTAGGAGATTATCTTTGTTTTTAAAAGCTCCTTTTAAACTTAAGTGTTGTCCTTTTATTTTATGATGTAATAGCTGTAAATATTTAACAAACTATTAAAAACCAGTATATACTTTTATTGCTTTCTATATTATTTTCAAAAAAGAAATAACATTTTCAGAAGTATATGTTCAAAAGTAATACTTTTATAAGATAATTTCTTGTGATTTTTTTGTTATTTTCTTCCTGTTCTAATTTCTCTTCTCTGAATTTTATTTTAATTTATTCTCTGGATTTCATATTGATTTATTTATTGACTGCTTTGAATCAATTGCAAAACTAAAATTCATGTAATAGTGTCAAAATAAAATATATAACAACCATAAATATAAATCAATAATATCTTCTTTTGTTATTGGTAATATAATTACATACCTTATTTGATAGCAAATATTTTTTAAAAAATAAATTAATAAATATAAGCCAGCATTTTTTCCCTAAGGTGTTATATTCTCAAATATGCTGTCATATAAAATTTTGCTGCATATGAGTTTGCAGAAGTGATGACATGAATCATTCAAATCTCTGAATGACATATTTACATATGTGAGCTAACATCCATATACCTTTATTCATTTTGCTGTTCAGAGAAATACATTGCTGTGGTGAATATTAGTTTTTCTTTTAGTCATAGTAGGGAATTAACTGATTTTCTTTTCAGTTAGAAACATTTTACTAACTTATTCTATAAATGTCTCCATTTTAATTTGCATATCTGGAAAGCACTCAGAACAATGATTTGAACATACAATTATCAGTTCCCTCTACTGTTTCAGCCAACATCTATACCCTCATGCTAGCTCTTTTTCCTTTAGCCTCAGCCACAGAGTGGCCCCTGATTACCTTCAGCACCGTGAAAACCAGGACAAAATTTAATATGGTTCCTATATTTTCTTCTTAAGCTGATTTTATTTCTATTTTTCCCCTCACACAGAGAATTTCTTTTTGCAGTTTTGCTCATGATTTTGTATAATCATTCTACTCCCAATTTAATAAGTGTCCAATGTATGTATAAGTATCCAAAGTGTATGTTCAATATTAGTGTAAATTTATTTACTCAAGCAAAGAAATATATCAAAGGACACTGAGTCAGTCTGATTTAGGCAGATTTCATTCTGTTACCACAGCAAAGCTCCTTTCCTATATTACAAAAGTTCAGAGTCTGGTTAAATTCTAACATTCAGAACAAGCATCCTGTTGCTTCCTGAAAATAAACTGACTAATTATAAATAACTTGTCTGAATACTAAATAAGGGTAAAATATATACTTGCAACAAAATTTTACAAGAGTATTCTTTGAATAATTCCATTTGTTTCCAAGAATGTTTCGGCATCTTACTAACACTCAACCATTTGTGTTTGTGAAGGCTGTTTGATTATCATGGGCGTGTGCCTCCACCTCCTCGAGCTGTCATCCCCCTGAAGCGTCCCAGAGTGGCTGTCACCACCACACGTAGGGGAAAAGGTGTCTTTTCCATGAAAGGGGGTTCCAAATCTACTGTTGGTGGGTCATCTTCATCAGGCTCTAAATGTAAGTAATGCTCCCTGCTTTGTTTTTCTGCAAATAAAAATAGGAATAACCATCATTAATAAAGGCCTATAGTCAATGGTTGTCTGGTAACTATTAATATAAAAACATGAATAATTATCTATTATTGAATTCTACCACATTGTACTAAGGTAGAAAGACAATAAGGAGGTAACCCAGAACTTATTTTAATAGACTTTTATCACAATAAATCGTGTTGAACTTTCAGCCTAGTTGGTCTGTGATAGAGAAAAGCATGAAAATAGAACATATTGCTTTTAATGAGGAAACACTGTCACTTTAAAAAGATACACAGTCTTTCCTTTCAAAGAAACGTGAATAAAATGTGCTCTGAATACTTTATAATTAGGATATTCAAGATTAAAGTTGGAAAAATGATACAAGAAAACATAACAATTATCCTAGGTTACTAGGAAAGATATACAACTGAATATATATTTCAATATATATTAAAGATCCTTACATCACTTCACAAAAATCAGTAAAATGTAGAGATGCCAACTTTCTTTTTTTTTATTTTTTATTTTTAAGGCAGTGTTATTTTACATATGAATTCCAGTACTCTCCTCTCACCTTCCCTCCACCCAACCACCATCCACTTAGAGAGAAAGAGAGTGAGTGACTTCCCATGGGAAGTCAAGAAAGTCCTTCACATCACTTGAGGCAGAACCAAAGTCTCCCCAGCTCACCCCTGGATCTAGGCTGAGCAAGGTATCCATCCATAAGTAATGGGTTCCAGAAACCAATTCATGTACTAGGGATAAACACTGGTTCCACTGCTTGTGGCCCAATAAACCACTCAAGTCATACAACTGTCACCAACATTCAGAGGGGAAAAATAGTCAGTCACATGCAGGTTCCCTAGCTCTAAATCCATAGTCAGTGAGCTCCCACTTGCTCAGGTTAGCTACTTCTGCTGGTTTCCCCATCAGCCTTGACCCCTTGCTCATATTAGTACCCCTCTCCTTCCTCTCTATGACTGGATTCCAGGAGCTCAGCTCAGTGCTTATCTGTGGATCTCTGATTCTGCTTGCAACAGTTACTGGATGTATGTTTTATGATGATAATTAGGGTAGTTATAAATCTGATTACATGGGAAAGGAAGTTAAGGCATGCTCTCCACTATTGCTTAGTAATTGGGGGTCATCCTCGTGGGTTCCTGGAAATTTTCCTGCTGCTAGATTTCTTGCTAACTCCATAATAACTTCCTCCATCAAGACAGTTCTTTCCTTGCTCTCCCTTTCTGTCCATTTCCCAACTTGTCCCTCCTGATCCCTCAAGTTCTCCTTCCCCCTTCCCTTCTCTTATCCCCGATCCACTTCCACCCTTCACTCACCTCCAAAGCTCCCAATTTACTCAGGAGATCTTGTCTAATGCCCTTCCCTATGGGGATCCATGTATGTCTCTCTTAGGGTCTTTCTTGCTTCTTGGCTTCTCTGGGATTGTGAACTGTAGGCTAGTTATCCTTTGCGTTATGTCTAACATCCACTTGTTAGTGAATACATACCGTGTTTATCTTTCTATATCAGAGTTACCTCCCTAAGTATGGTGTTTTCTAATTTCATTCATTTGCCTGAAATTTTTAAAATGTTATTGTTTTTTATCACTGAGTAGTACTACATTGTGTAAATGTACCACATTTTCTTTATCTATTCTTCAGCTGAAGGATATCTAGGTTGTTTCCAGGTTCTGGCTATTACAGATAATGCTACTATAAACATAGCTGAGCAAATGACTTTTTGGTATGAGTATGTATCCTTGGAGTATATGCCCAAGAGTAATATTGCTGAGTCTTGAGGTAGATTGATTCCCAGTTTTCTGAGAAACTGCCATACTGTTTTCTAAAGTGGCTGTACACATTTTCACTCCCACCAGGGATGGAAGAGTGTTCCCCTTACTCCATGGCCTCTCCAACATAAGCTTTCATTAGTGTGTTTGATCTTAGCCATTATTACTGGGATAAGACAGTATCTCACAGTCGTTTTGATTTGCATTTCCCTGGTGCATATTCCCTGGTGGATAAGGATGCTAAGCAATTCCTTAAGTGCCGTTCCACCATGTGAGATTCCTCTGATGAGAATTATCTGTTTAGGTCTGAACCCCATTTTATAATACAATTGTTTGGTATTCTGATGTCTATTTTTTGAGCTATTTGTATATTTTTTGAGATCAATCTTCTGTCAGATGTGGGGTTGGTGAAGATTTTTTCCATTCTGTAGGTTGCCATTTTGTCTTATTGACTATGACCTTTTTATTACAGAAGCTTCTCTGTTTCAGGAGGTTCCATTTATCAAGTGTTGATTTCAGTACCTGTGCTACTGGTGTTAAATTCAGAAAGTGGTCTCCTCAGCCAGTTCATTAAAGGCTACTTCCCACTTTCTCTTCTATGAGGTTCAGTGTGGCTTGATTTATGTTGAAGTCTTTGATACAGTTGAACTTGAGTTTTATGATGTTTGTGGCTATTATAAAGAATAACGTTTCTCTGATTTCTTTCTTAGCCCATTTATCATCTTTATAACAAAGGCAGAAGTCACATTCCAGAAGTGTGGTGCGTAGAATAAATGACTAAGTTTATATAAATGAGAGAGTGCTCTTAACTGGAGAACTGTAAATATTATGAAACAATATTCCATTTGCTATTTTAGATTTGAATTTTACTTTGTGTAATGTTTTATTTTGAGCTTTCCATCTGGATTGCTGGGTTATACTTTTGCTTCTTGTATCACTATTCTAAAGTTGTAGCAATCAGGAATTTAGAGGCTACACATCTGGGATATATGAGACTCAACTACTATGTACTTCTCTGTGTCTTTATGTACATTCTCCTCCTGATTAGACGTACACTAGTCTCACTAGATTAAATCACTTTAATGACCTCAACTTAATGTTTTCTCTGCAAAGGCCAATTCACAAATAAGATGTTTTCAAGGTATGAGAAATTAGGGCTCAACTTATCTTCTATAAAAATGTATTTTAATGCATAAGTACTTTATCACTTTTTATGTTTCCTTAAATTCCTTAAATCATCATGCTGCTGAGTTTGGCCCAAAAGAGCAAGTAAAAGTCTATTTCTATAGTTAAAAGTCTTTTACATATAGTCAGTTTAGTAATGTTTTCAACTACTTTTCTTCAAGGTAGGGTTTCTCTGTGTAGCAGCCCTGTATGTCCTGGAAATTACTCTGTAGAGACCAGGTTGGTCATGAACACACAGAGATCTACTTACCCCACCTACCTCTGCCTCCCAAGTGCTAGGATTAAAGGTGTGTGCCACCACTGCCTGGCTAGTCGCCTCATTTTTATTTTGGAAGTGTTTGCCATTGCTTCTGTTTGTGTTGATAAGGTGTGTGTGTGTGTGTCTGTGTGTGTGTGTGTGTGTGTGTGAGAGAGAGAGAGAGAGAGAGAGAGAGAGAGAGAGAGAGAGAGAGAGAGAAACAGAGACAGAAGAATGAGAGAGAGAGACAGAGAGAGACAAGGAGAGTTCAGAGCTGGGGTCTTCTGTAAGTTTCCAACTTTTTTCTTTATTTTTATACTTCTTTTTAAAGTTTTATAAAAATATTTTGATCATATTCCCACTCTTCTTTCAGCTCCTCAGAGATGTACCCCACTTTCCAATGACCCCAACATTTTGCATTTTTCACCATCAAGAACACTTCTTGTTGGCCAAATATTTGTGGATAAGTGGTCATTCATGACTGACTTTCACCAAGCTACACACTTGGCATTAATTCTCCCAGGAGGTATCAGTTTCTGAGGTTCTTATCCAGGGACTGAGAGTTCATGCCCACATACTCTTTCCATTCTAGGATTTGGTCTGACTTGGCTTTGTACTAGTCTTGTGCATGTTGTCATTACTGTTGTGAGCTCATATGTGTAGCTGCATTGCTGTGTCCAGAAGACACTACTTCCATCTCCTCTGTCTCTTAAATTCTTTCTGCCTTCTTTCCTGCATGGTATCTGGACATTCAAAAAAAAAAGTGTGGTATATATGCTCCATTTATGGCTGAGAACTCTGAAGCCCTTTTTTTGTCCACCTTGGCCACTTGTAGATCTCAGTGTTAATCACCATTTACTTAAAATTGATGATTTAATGGTGAGGTTTGAGAAAGGCAATAACTTCTGGTTATAACAAGTAACTGGTGATTACTTAATATTATGTTTGTTTAACAAAACACTAGCATTATTTTCTTACCATCTTCTATGGCTAATCAATACATAGGCTCTTCAACTGAAAATGGTACCAGATATGTGTTTCATCTTGTGGAATGGGACTTAAACCCAAACAGAAAAGTAGTGCTTATTCCCAGGATCTTTGTCCCAATATTGCAACTGCAGACATGTTTTTGCAGGTTTTATAGTATTATAGCTCACGGGGTTCATAGATGAATGAATTTTTCTTCTTCAGTAAAGCAGACAACAACTTTCACCACTGTGAAATGGCAGATTAGTATCAGTTTAATTTCATGTGTCCTATGACTCAAGTGTGAGATATGTTCAGCAATATGTTCTCACTATCAAGTTATGGAGGGTAAATAAGAGAAATGAAAATAACCTATAAGATTTGGGGAAATATAGGACCTCACTATCCAATAATACCAAAAGAAGGAGTAACCCATTCTTGGCATTGAGCATGTTTATTTATCCATTCTTTTCTTTATTGTTCTCTAGTGTTTGGTAAAATTGTCTCAGTGTGTATTTAAAATTTTATATATATATATATGAATAGTCAAAGCTAACATCAAAAACCAAGGCCAGCTGGCCTGGGTCTGAAAAAGCCCGGGTTAAAACCGGTCTCGCTGAACATAGTCCTCAGTGAGGACTACTGAGACCTCAAGAACAATGGCAATGGGTTTTTGATCCTACTGTACCTATTGGTTTCGTGGGAGCCTAGGCAGTTTCGTGGATGCTCACCTTACTAGACCTGGATGGAGGTGGGTGGCCCTTGGACTTCCCACAGGGCAGGGAACCCTGATTGCTATTTGGGC